CTTTAAGTTTTTTCTCTTTCATTAGGACAGAAAGGTTCTGTCCCTGTTGAAGTACATCTTTTTCTCTCCCCCCACCAACCGTTTTTTTAAACAAGCACCAGGGACAGGAAGAGACCATCTTGGGCCTCTTGAAATGTTCTACTTAGGCTCATCTAAGTTATTCTTATTTAAGGAATGAGCAAGTCCACTCATGTACTCTCCCACACATCAGATGAGGATGTCCAAAATAAAGCTTATGCTTGCTGTTGCTACCACATATGCTGTTTTTTGGACTAGAACTGTGATTTCATTGGTATAAAGAGCTCCTAGCAAGGAAACTACCTACTGCTAATGAAGATTAGCACTTGCTATTAGCAGTTTATGGTCTTAGAGAATTGCTTGGGCCACTGAGAGGTTAAATTGCTTGTCCAGGGTCACATGGCCAGTATGTGTCAGAGGAGGGATGTGAGTGAATGCTGGGCTTTCCTGAATTCAAGTCAGACCTCCATCTCCTACATCCTGGTTATCTTATAACACATATAGTATATGGCAGAGAATGATATAAATGAGCATCTTTATGGCATAACAGATAGAAGAGCCAATCTTGGCATCTAGAAGACCGAGGTTCATGTCCAACCTCTAATATATACATTATTTATGACCTTAGGCAAGTCATTTCATTTCTCAGTGATTGAAGCAACTCTCTGAGTCTATAGGTACATTAACGGAATAATGGAACACTTCCTATACCATTGAAATCACAAGTCTGGAATAATAATAATAATAGCTGGTTGAGATAACAGATTGGCTGGCAGGCAGGGGGCTGTAGAGAGAGCACAGGACTAGTAAACATGATGCTGAAATCTAGTTCTTTCCACTCATACAGTCACAATGTTTGGTTCATTAGCTCTCACCTACACTAATGCAATAGCCTTCTAACTGGTCTCCCTGCCTCTAGTTTCTACCAACTCCAATCTGTCCTCCAATCAGCTGCCAAGGTTATATTTCTAAAGTGTAGGTCTATATGCCCAAAGGTCTAGAAAGCTGTGCATACCCTTTGATCCAGCAATACCACTACTAGGTCTGTATCCCAGAGAAATTTTAAAAAATGGGAAAAGAGCCTACTTTTTCAAAAATATTTGTAGCAACTCTTTTTGTGGTGGCAAACAATTGGAAATTGAGAGGATTCCCATCAATTGAGGAATGGCTGAACAAATTGTGGTATATTGTAATGGAATAAATGACAAGCAAAATTATTTCAGAAAAAACTGGAAAGACTTACATGAACTGATACAAAATGAAGTGAGCAGAACCAGGAGAATGTTATACACAGTAACAGCAATATTGTATGATGAAGAATAGTGGGTGAGTCAGCTATTCTCACCAATACAGTTATCTAAGACAATCTCAAAACACTCATGATGAAAAATGCTATCTGCCTCCAGAGAAAGAACTGATGTCTGAAAACAGACTGAAGCATACTATTTTTCCCTCCCTCCTTTCTTCCTTTCTTTCTTTCTTCCTTCCTTCCTTCCTTCCTTTCTTTCTTGTTTCAGTTTTCTTGCAGAAAGTGAACCAATATAGAAATGTTTTACATGATCGCCCATGTATAACCTGTATCCGATTCCATACCATCTCAGGGAGGAGGAGGAGAAGGAGGGAGGGGTAGAATTTGGAACTCAAAAATTTTTAAAAATAAACATTAAATTGTTTTTATATGAAGTTGGGGAAAAATAAAATATTATTTAAAACTAAAAAAAATTAAAGTATAGATCTGACCAGGTCATCACACCATTCCCTCCTGCTCCATGAGCTCTGGTGGGCTTTCTGTTATCTATAGGATCACATATGAAATCCTCTTTTTTTCATTTAAAGCTTCAAAACTTGGTCCCTTCCTGCCTTTCCAGCCTTCTTATATTTTACCCCCTTCTACAACTCCTATGATACAGATGCACTGGCCAGCTTGCAATTCCTCTAGTAGTTCATTCAGTCTCTCTTCTCCCTGATTTTGAGCTTGCACTGCATCTGAGGGCATCTCCAGTCGTCCTGATCTGTATCTGGCCACTGGACCCAGATGGCTCCGGAGGAGAAAGTGAGGCTGGTGACTTTGCACAGTCCTCCCTCACTTAAATCCAATTCACTCGAATGTCATGGCGTCACCTCCCTGATGTCATGGTCCTCTTCAAGAACGAAGGACAAACAACAACAACAACCCTGACTTTGTACCGGCCATCCCTTGTTCTTGGAATGTTCTGGCCCCTCACCTTCACCTTTTAGTTTCCCTGGTTTGCTTCAAGGCTCAGTTCAGACTGTCCCTTCCTTAAGAGGCCTTCCCCAGTCCTCCAGCTACCTTCCCTGTTATTGCCCTCACCTATTCTACATCTATATCTTGTATGGACCTGGTTATTTGCACATCGTCTGCCCCATTTGAATGTGTGCTGCCTTTCTTTGTATCCCCAGTACTTAGAATAGTGCTTGGCACATAGCGAGCGCTTTAAAGGATGCTTGCTGATTGACAGACTAGCTGTGTGATTTTGATCAGTTCACTCAATCTCTTTTATACTTTGGGCTCTTTATCTGTAAAAGGATGAGGATTGGTCTGAATGATTTATGGTCTCTTCCAGCTCTAACATTCTGTGACTTCTGCCAGCATCTTCCTCTGTCCTCCCACCACCTTCTTGCCCTCCATGAAGCCCCTTATTGCTAGCACTGCCCCCAACCCTCTCTCACCATCCCTTCTCTCTCTGCCCCAGCATTTTCTTGATCTCTCATACTTGATTCATTTCCTTCCATCCTTCCCCTCATCCTCTGCCCAAGGTTTTACTCTGAACCCAAGTTCTAACAATGAGCTGGGGCCTTCTTCCAACCTTTCAGAGGGGCCTCCTTTATAAACACTGAAACCAATATAAACCAAGCTGATAAAAACCCAGCTTACGGAAAGCCCTTAGTCAGGCCTTTGGCTGAGCTGGAGAGCCACATCTGGCACTGCTGACTCAGGGCTTCAACACATTCTGGAAACTTCTCCTGCTTTAAATCTTAGCCCTCATTTCTTTTAAGTGCCATCCCATCACCTCTCCTCCATCCCAGCTTCATCGCCGCTGCCCCTCCTCATCCCATCCCCGATGCACACATGAAGCATTGCTTCCCAGATGTGTCGGGAAGATTCTATGCTATACTAGAAAGTGTACACGGAGAGTCAGGAGACGTGGTTACTTGTCCTGTCTCTGACACCAACTATTTTTGTGACTTTGGACAAGTTGCTTCCCTCTATGCCTTGGTTTCCTCCTCTGTAAAATGAGGTGAAAATGAGGTCTGGACCTAGGAGGGACCTTAGAAATTCTCCGCTCTGAGGACTGGTGAACTTGTTTTTTTAAAAAAATGTTGTGATAACTGTGTTTCAATATAATAGGTTTCTTTTTTGTAATCCTATGTACTTTATTTCATGTGTAATGGGGCTTTGCTCTGTGCATGCCTAGATCACCTAAGATGGAGGCACCCATGGGGGAAATGCCAGAGACCTGCTTCTGGGAGAAGACATTCTGCATTCCTCTGCCATGTGGGTGGGAACAACCTCTTTCCATTGGCAGCACAGTCTGAACAGGCTGTGTCTTTAAAACTACCAGACTGGGACAGTGTTTCTCTCTCTTTCTGGAAGCATCCAAGGGGTGAAGGTCTAGTTTGCTACATCAGGGGCACAAGGAACTGGACCTAGAACTTGGGAGGACTATGCTATATGAGAACAGAGCTAAATTATGAACCTGATCTTCATCTCCTTGCCAGAGATGGAGGTAGTACAAGAAAGGATCACACCCCACCCCAGCTGTGGGATTGTCTGCAGGTCTGCTCTTGCTGTACTTTTGAAGCAAACATTCCTTTATAAAAGTTAATTTGACTGTTAAGTGATCGGATGGAAAAGGAGTGCAAGGGACCTCTCAATTAGGAGAACATAATTGGTAGGGGCTTGAGCCAATGACATAGAGACTAGACACACTCCCTAAACTCCCTTTATAGGTACGAGAGAACCCCAGAAAAGAGGTTCAATGTAACATACCAGGCTTTCAGGCCAGAGTAATCCTTGTTATACACGTATTTAAAAACATAACTCATATATCCCCAGACTGCCAAAGGGGTCCATGACACACAAAAAATTAAGGACTCTTCATCTGGTTTAACCCTTTTATTTCACAGATGGGAATACTGAGGCCCAGAAGGATTTAAAATAGTAAAAAGTAGAGTACGGATTTGAACTCAGGTCTTTTGACTCTAATTTCAATGCTTTTTGCTTTCTGCTTCTGTGTAGAACTAGATGATCTCTAAGGGCCCTTCTAGGAATCCAGAGTGCTTTCTCCTGATCTTTCCTTCAAGGACCACCTTCTACATAAAGCAGATCCTCCAACTTCTGGTGCCTTTTCTCCTTAACCTTGTGTGTAATACCTTGTATTTAATGGTTTTGGATTTCTCTGTGTTTATTTTTATATTTGTTTTGTGTATGCTTATATGTGTTCTTGTCTCCCCATTAGAATGTGAGTTCATTAAGAGTAAGGATTGTTTCATTCATTGTCTTTGTACTCCCATTGGCTGGCACACAGTAGGCACTTAACTAAATGCTTGTTCATTGATTGATTCCCAGTCCTGCATCTTTATCAAGGGACCCAGCTGCAGTGTCAGTCACCTCCTTGGAGGACTGGGGACTAAGAATTGAGCCTGTTCTTCTCCAAGGGTGATTCTCAGCAGCTCACAGGACACAGGGCAGAGCTAAGGATATAAAAGAAACTGGAATTTTATAGAAGACTTCTCAGGAGTCAGAGATGTCTGAGATTAACCACCTAGGGTAAAGGAGGAGAAATGATTGAGAGATGGGAAGAGAGGAGCTTCCAATTACCCAAGGGGTAAGATAGCATAGCCTATAAGCTAGGTTATACCTTCCCTACTCTCAAAGAAGGATTCCATTCCCCCAAAAGAGAAAAACACTCAGAAACCCCAATTAGCTCGTTAGCCTTTATTCCCCATTGTCTCCTAAAAGTGTTGGCTTGGGGAGAACAGGACACTTCCCCAGTGTTCCGTTGGAGATCCATCCATCCAAGATGGTAGCAGAAGCATTGGGCCAAGTTAGAAGAAGTTGACCACTTTTCGAAGGGACTGAACATTGGCGCTGTGGGCCTGCCAGTCGTTGAAGCTTCGGTAATCGCCCCTCTCCACCACGTACATGTGACCCCGGTAGTTTGGTTCTTCATAAAGCACCCACCTAGGACAAAGGAAACAGGTGTGGGTGGTAGAAGGAGGGAAAATTTGAGAAAGTAGGAAAACTAAGACCCTTAGCTTCAAGGTAGGGGGTCACTCTTAATGGGTAAAAAGCTCCTGCAGAGTTTGTACCATGATGGAAGTATCAGAGCACAGGAAGGTACAGACAAGGGGGTTGTTGTAGGCTGGGAATCATTCCTCCACATTCTTTGTCCTATTTGGTTTCGCTTTTGTGATTGCACAGTACCAACCGAAAAGTTCTAGACCTAGAGGACCCAGACCAGGATTGGGAAAGATGGCATTTTAAGATCCCACATCTCATGCTGAAAAAACACATTAGGGGCATTAAGTTCAATCCTTTAATTTCACAAATGAAGAAACTTGGACACAGAGAAGTTAGATGATATACTCAAAGTCATACAGGTAGTAAATGGCAGAGATGAGATTTGAACCTGGGTACCTCTGACCCCAAATCCATTGTCTTTTCACTGTGCCATGATTTTTATCCCTTCTGGGGTTACTATGGAAGAAACCCAAAGGTTGCCATTTTGGGCACACTGTTCCTCCCATCCCCCAAGTCATCTGAGACTCAGGAGAGGAATCTAGTACTCCCTACTCCTGGGACTTCCACATACCCACCCCTGATTTCTCTCGCCTTCCTTCAATCTGCTTCCTTCTTGGATTTCCATACCACTTGGTGCCTGTACCACACATCTGGATGCCTAATTATCTACCTTCCCTAATTATTTTATCAGTGTAAAACTCTTCTCTCCAATTACTTGCAAAATTCCAAGGGGAGGGACTGTATCTTTTCCTCATCTTCAGCAAAGAATCAAACACAGAACTGAGAATGACATAGTAGATGTTGAGTAATAGTCAATATATCAAAGATCTAAGATTTTTGTTAAGAGTAAGACACCCTATACCTTAGTAGATAAATCTTAGAGAATTACCTGGAGTTCAAGGAGGCTAAGTAGTTGCCCATATAGACTTAGCTAGAGTCAGAGGCTGGTGTGTATAGGTTGGTAACTGGGCACACTAATAGGTTCTCAGTAGTGACTTTTAACATTTAATTGGGTGCGTGACAGGGCTACGGGCTCAGGCTCTTTCTGCTTTTGTCTCCATACAACCAGACTCACTCAGAACCAACCCTACACATTGGTTGGGAGGCCAGCCACACCTGTGGCTGTGGAGATGTGAGAAAGGAAGGAAAAGGGGAAGAGGGAACAGAAGACAGGGGAGAAGAAGAGAAAGGGGAAGAAGGGGAAGAGAGAAAAATGAGAGAGAGAGAGAGAGAGAGAGAGAGAGAGAGTGATTTCAACATTATTCTGAGCTGTCCCAAATTCTCACTGTCTTTAATATTCCTTGGTTTTCTGGGGAAACGTTAGCTAACAAGAACAGGGGGTCATTTTCTCTGATTAGGACACTATACCCTAGTGTAGATAGCAGTGCCTTAAGGAGAGGGAGCACCATAAGCTTTGATGGAGGGAGAAAAAAGAGAAGGTCTGGTGCATAACACACTGTCTAGGTCCCACTAGGGCAACAGAGGGAGGGAAGCCCTGAGCAGCCACCAGAGTAACAATGAGGGTGTTAGGTACCTTGGGGTAATACCAGAAGAGAACAGGTTGGAGGCAATAAATATTGACCTTGCCTACTTGCTGACTCTGTCTCCATCACCCACTTCCTGGGCCATGTCACCCAGGACCTTAGTGTTCTTTCCCATAAAATGTTCCTATAAGGGGGTGAATAAAGAATGGGGGATTTCTAAGGTTCTTCCCAGTTCTCACACTGTATAATTTTCTAGCTTCTGATTCTTTCCTATGTCTCACACACATACCCACTGACTCTGTCCTACTAACTCCTAAATACCATTGGCTCTTAGATAAACAGTAGGTACCATCTTTTATTCCCCAGAGGACATGGGCTCCTATACTTGGAAATAACCTTAGAGGCTATCACATCCAGCCATCTCACTTTCACACAAGGAAACATAAAATGGCTTGCCCAAGGTCACACAGCTAATTAATGGTCTAAACATAGAGTAAAACCCAAGTTTTCTCACTCTTAGCCCAGTCCCTTTCCTCTGTATGCCAGGCTATCCAGGGTTGAGGAGATGGGTTGGGAATGTCTGTGAAAGATGGTAACAAAATCTAGGTCTTCTTAACTTTCCTTCCTTTGGCTGCTTCTGTGCAATACTTACTCTGCTGGTCTCACTGGATTTATCCTCCAACCCACCAGGGCCCTGAGGAGGTTGCCTATGGTGACAGAAAACTAGTGGAGGCTTTTTCCTCATCACCTTGCATTTACTCTTTTGGGCATTACTGCCTTCCTCAACTGAGATATCTGTAAGAAGAAGAGATGTGAGGAGGGAAAGAAAAGGGGAAGGGAGAACAGAGAAGAGGAGGGGAGAAAGAGGAGGGGGGGGAGATAGAAGGAGAGGAGGAAGAGAGAGAGGGGGAGAGAGAGGGAGAGAGAAAGAGAGAGAGAGAGAGAGAGAGAGAGAGAGAGAGAGAGAGAGAGAGAGAGGAAGACAGAAGGAGAGAAGGAGGAAGGGAGAGAGGGGGAGAGAGGAGGAGGAGGAGGGAGAGACAGACAGACAGGGAGACAGAGAGAGAGAGGAAGACAGAAAGAGAGAAGGAGGAAGGGAGGGAGGGGGAGAGAGAGAGAGAGAAAGAGAGTGAGATGGAGCAAGGAATAGCCAGAGGGCTCCAGTGTGGGGATAGTTCACACTGAGTTGGCTGCATTCCCCGGCCCTAAGCCAGAGCAATCATCTCATTTTCATAAGCCCTAAGTCCACCCACGACCACAGGCTTTGGGCCACCCCCAAAGGACTCACTTTTATCCCCTTCTCCCCCACAGTGAACCAATGAGGCTTAAGTGTGAGAATGTCCAAAGCAATGCCCTGAGACAGAGCATGGTACTCAAGGTTTCCATAGACCCATAATGAAGTGCATTGAGAACAGGGCTACAGACTGAAGGAACCAAGTTCTCCCTTCTCTTCCCCCACCTCCAACTACAAATAACACTATGATTTATGGGGGAAGGGAGGTGAAGGAAAAGAGGGTGGTTGGGGGAAGGGTGAGAGAAGAGAGAGTAAGGAAGATGGAGAGAGAGGGGACTGGAAGAAGATGAAAGGGACCCGGGGGAAGGAAAACCAGCCTCCCTAAAGCAGGACCTTGCCGGTGAAGAAACAGCAGCAACTGGGCTTTAGGGAAGTGTGGGGCGAGGCAAGAGTGGGTGGTGTGGTGCTGGGATATTCACTGCCTCTAGCCCACTCCCCTGCCTCTCCCCCAGGCTAACAAACAGCAGCTATCTGACCATCCTCACCAGAACGTCATCATAGAAGGAGAAGTTCTTGTGGACATGTTCTGCTATGACCATTTTTTAGTTTTGATTTTGGTAACTCCCCCAGTTACCCACCAGCAGAGTCCTCCAGTGCTCTATCCCAGGGGATAGTTTAGGAAAAGAATGGTTAGGAAAGTGTTTCCAGAGCAGAGCACTTCCCATACGGAGCTCTCCCAGGAGTCCAGCCTTCTGGGATGTCATTCCTGGAATTCACTGCTGTTGATCCAGAGGGAAAAAAATCCCTGGCATCCGAGAGCCCCACCCCCACCCTTTTCTGGGGCTTACCCTGTGGGACAGCTCTTTCCAGATTGACCCTTTCTCCTTCTGTGCCAGGTTTTAAGAGCTTTGCTTTTTAAAATTTGAATAAATTTTAATCCATTTATTTCTAATAATGGCTCACTCAGCCAGTTAATGGGGAAATCTCAAGTTGCTTTCTATATGGGGCCAGGTGATAAAGGTGGCTTTTAAGACACTGCTCAGCTGATTAATTCATATCCCTAACAAATTAAACAGTTCCAGTCCTGAAGAGTTAGACTCCATCAACTCTGGGTATAGGTTACCCCATGGGGATGAAGAGAAAGGAGTGATCCAGAAGCAGAAGCAGAGAAAGAGAAAGAGCTTCAGAAAGACAAAGAAAGACAAAAAGAAATTCAGAAATCAAGAAACAGATGCAAAGAGTCATAGAGAAAGGAAAACCAAGTGAGAAATAGAGTGGGGGAGAACACAGCACATTCCTCCAAGTCACACTGAATTCAAGGACATGAGACATGGCACACAGCACGAAGTCAATCTGACACAAGGCCAAGTACAAAGGTTTGTTACGAATGTGGAGACTTTTTCTTTGGCCTTATCACACCCACCCCCTTTGTTGTTGCGATTAAATCCATTCTAAAGTCTGCTAACTTGAACAACACGTCCAATTTATTGGGGCGGGGGGGTGTTAGACCTAAGAAATAAATGGACTCCCTCCCAACTGGCTCTTCTATGGGATCAGGTCTTGGGAACATCTAATTCAGCAGCAAGAAGGAATACCACTGCTGGGCACACTGTTCTAAACTTTGATGAGAGGATTGGAAAGGGGAGAGAGGATTTAGGGTGGAGACATTATTTGCCTTGCCCTGATCAAATGGTAATATTATGCCTTAGAATCATTAGATGTATTTAAGGAAGAGACCTAAGATATCACTTAATCCAGCTATCACATGCTATAGAATCTCCAACAGATGAGTGCCCTGCTTCTGCTTGAATATTTCCAGTGATGGGGACCTCATTACCTAACAAGATGACACATTCCATTTTCAAGTAACCCCTAACTGATAGAAAGCCCAAGTCTAATCCCTCCATAGGAAAGCCTCTCAAATACTTGAAAGCAGTTATCATGTCCCAGCCTTCCCAAAACTTCTGTTTTCCAAACTAAATATTCATGATTTCTTCTCCCATTCCTCCTATGAAGACCTGAACACAATACTCCCCATGTGGTCTGACCATGCCGAGTGCAGTGGGTTTATTACATCTCTTGTTCTAAATACTTTCATTCCATTAACATCATGTTAACTTTTTGAGTACCTGCATCATACTGCTGACTCATTGACTTGTAGGTCACTAAAATTCCTCATTTTTTTTCTTAGAAGCTGCTATCTAGCCAACCATTTCCACCTTATTCTATACTTTTTAAAAAAAAAATTTATTTATTCTTAGTTTTCAACATTCACTTCCACAAGATTTTGAGTTCCAAATTTTCTCCCCATCTCATCCCTCCCCCCACCCCAAGATGGCATGCATACCCCTTCCCCTAATCTGCCCTCCCTTCTAGCTCTCCCCCCCACTTCCCTTATCCCTTTCCCCTTCTATTTTCCTGTAGGGCAGAATAGATTTCTATACTCCATTTCCTGTATTTCTTATTTCCCATGTGAAAATAATTTTTTTAACATGTGTTTTTAAAACTTTGGGTTCCAAATCTTCTCCCTTCCTCCCTCCCCTATTCTATACTTTTGAAGTGGTTTTTAAACCCAAGTGTGGTACTTTACATTTGTCCCTACTGATTTTCATTATTAGATTTAGTATATTATCACAACCAATTCAGGTCTTTTTGGATCCAGATGCTGTCATTCAATCATTAGTTATCCATTCAAGCTAGTATGTTTATCAACAAATTCAATAAACATACTATCTGTATCTACATCCACATCATTGATTAACAATAAAAAAATTAAGAGAACAAGGCCAAGCACAGAACATTATGGTATTCCATGGGATACATACCTTCAGACCATGTCTAACATTAACTAATAATGGCTAACATTTACATAGTATATTTGTATATATATAAGTGTATTTTATATTATATATAAATATATATATATAATATATAAATATATTTATATATAAATTTATATATAAAAATATATAAATATAAATTATATATATAATATGTATATATATATAAATTTTATATTATATATAAATTACATATATAATTTATATAATGCTTTCTTTGTGCCAGGCACTGTGCTAGGTGCTTTACAATTATTATCTCACTTGATTTTTCACAACTACCCTGGAAATTAGGTGCTATTATTATCCCTATTTTACAGATGAGGAAACTAAGGCAAACAGGAATGAAGGGATTTGCCATGGGTCACACAGTTAGTAAGTGTCTGAGGGTGAATTTGAACTGAAGTCTTCCTGACTCCAGGCCTAGCACTCTACCTGCTCTACCACCTAGCTGCCCTTAAATGGATTTTCATCCATTGACCAATATTCTTTGAGTCTGTTCATTCAACTAGCCATATGTACCTCATTATACTGTAATGAGAAGTGATAGGTAAAGTATGACCTGCAGACACTGCCTTTTTTTTTTTTTGCAGGACTAAGAATGGTTCTGTCATTTTAAAATTAAGTTTTATATTTTAAAATGCAAAAACCATTCTTAGCTCACAAACCGTAAGAAAACAGGCTGCAGGCTGGATTTGGCCTTCTGGCTAGACCCCATGCATATAAACATGCACCCTCGTCCACAAGTATATCATGAGGTATTTTTTCAAATGCTTTCCTAAAATTCACAAGGAAAGACCACTATAAGGCAAGTCAGGAGACCTGGGCTTAAATCCTGGCCACTTACCAAGCATGTGACTTTGGACAAATCATGTCTTCTCTCTAAGCCTCAGTTTCTACATCTGAAAAATGAGTGGTTGGACTTAATGATCCATGAGGTTCCTTTCAGCTTTGACGTACGAACTCTGATTCTGGGCATATCTTGCTTTCCGGGAACCAGGTTGGATAACCCACAAAGCAAAGGTAATGTGGTTATTAAAAGTTGTACTCAATATTTTTGAGTGGCCAGTCTAGAATTCAGAATACCTGGTCCAGAGTCATCTCTTGCTTTCCTCAACAGAACGCTGAATTGAAAACCTCTAGATTTAAATTCTTGTCCCAACTCTGCCCCTAACTAGTGACTTTGGGCACTCTCTTCATCTCCATGGTTGTGATTTCCCTCATCTGTAAGATGAAGGGCTTGGGCTAAATGACCTCTTAGGTCGCTTCAAGCTCTATTATTATTATTATTCCATGTTGCTACTTTTCAAGCCATCTCTCCACCCTCAGCCTCAAAGCCCACTGCCATTCTTTCCTTATTCTTGGGCTTCAGAGTGGGTCTAGGAAGGTAGTTCACGCAGGCGGTGGTGGGGAGAGGTCATCACCAATTCTTGTGGTGAGAGCGGTTTGCCATCTGGAAATTCCTGAGACTTGACAAGATACGGAAAACAAGGACGGGCATTCCCTTGGTGACTTGGGAGTTCCCTTTCCTGCTATTTTTAACATCCTACCAGGACACATAGTTTTTGCTAGATATTGGCAGCTCTCAATAACTTCCCTGAGTCAATGAAGTCATATAATAATAGTAGCTAGCTCTTTAAGGTTTGCAAAGTGTTTTTCATATGTTATCTTGGTTGATCCTCACAACAGCCCTATAAGGTCGGAGCTATTATTATCCCCATTTTACAGGTGAAGAAAATGAGGCAGACAGAGGTTAAATGGCTTCTGAAGGGTTACAGAAATAAGTAAGTGTCTGAGGCAAGATTTAAACTCAAGTCTTCCAGATACTATGTCCAGTACTCTATCCATTGTGCCGTCTAGTTGTTAATCCCTTCCTCCCCTATGCCTCTTCCATTGGTTTTACAAGTTGTAGATGTTCCTTCCACAGGATTAGAAGGGACAATTTACACTAAGATGTTGATGACTGATATCAGCCTAATATGTTCTGATTTCAAGGGCAGATATTTTTATAGGAAATGTTTAACCCAAAGGAATGGCTTTCTAATGGTGGAATTTTAGGCATTTTTGCATGTAGGCTGATTGGGTATATATTTTCTAGTCAGGGTGGCTACACATGAGAATTGTATAGGAGCCTAAACTAGAGTACAGAAGGAGATACGCTAACTCCACTTAAGGCCTCCAAGGGGATGACCAAGGCCAATGTCCAGGATGCCCTCTGTGCCTCTTTCCTTCCTCCTTTCCCTCTCCCTAACCAAATTCTTATTTTATCTCTTTTTTTGGGGGGTGGGAGGCAACTGGGGTTAAGTGACTTGCCCAGGGTCACACAACTACTAAGTGTCAAGTCTCTGGTCTGAGACCGAATTTGAACTCAGGTCCTCCTGACTCTAGGGCCAGTGCTCTATCCACTGTGCCACCTAGCTGCCCCTATTTTATCTTATTCCTTGAATTACCAGGGACCAGATGGCTATGCTACCTTGTCCTGCTCTATGCCATGGGCTATGCCTGTTCCTTCCCTCACTTCCTACCTCTCCTTTACATGTTGTATTTCCTCATTAGAATGTCAGTTACTTGAGGACAGGGACTGTCTTGCTTGCTTGCTTGCTTGTTTTGTAGTACAGTGCCTGGCACAGAGAAGCACTATAGAGTCTCTATCTATCCATCTATCACCTGTCTCTATATCTATCATCTATCTACATCTATCATCTCTCTAGCTATCATCTACTATCTATCTTTCTTTCCATCTATCACCTATCTATTTTTCATCTATCTATTTTCTATCATCTTTCTGTCTGTCTATCTATCTAATCCATGGTCAAGATGAGCTATGTTGCCACCAGGAAGTAATTCATCCCTTAGCACACTCAACAGTATCCAACCCTTCCTTCCCCTACTTTATCTTTTTGTGACTCCCTCTCAGTGTGGAGAAGGGCTCCCTTGGCATTAACTTTTGCTGAACAGGAGGTCCAAGAGAAGCTTCCCCCTTGCTCAGCCATGGAACAGAGACTTCTGGGCACACATTTCTCTGACATATTCCAACCTAGTCAGCTGGGACAATGAGGAATTGAGAGCTTCTGGGATGTGAGATTTCTCCCACAGTGCCCTGCCCCCCAACCTGATGCACACAATATCCATTATATTATCTTCCCTCTAAGAGAAGGGTTCTTAACATTTTTTGTCCCATGAAACCCTTGGGCAGTCTGGAAGCCTTCTCAAAATAACATTTGTTGCCTACGTTCATAATTGAAGGTAATGCTACATTTCCATTAGAGGTTAATGAAAATTAAGAAGTGATTTTCCCCCCAATCCAAGTTCATGGAGCCCCTGAAAAATCCATCCATGGACTCCTTAGGTTCCATGGACCCCAGTGTTAAGAACTGCTCTAAGAAAATAATACTGTTTGTATATAACTGTGTGAGTTATTCCTGCTATGTACTGAAGCATCCAGAAACAGAAGCATCACTTTAAATTTCAGGCCCCAAAAGAAAGCTTTGCAAAGAATCCCCTGCCTTCTCCAGCCAGCCATGAGGCAAAGAGTAAAGCAGGAAAGTACTCTGGTATCTTCCTATCTTCCCTTTCAGTGAGTGATCTCTTGCTCTGTCCTGGCATCTGACCATTCCTGCCACGGTGCTTAATGCCCTTATGCTGCCCTCCCTAGTCCAAAATTCCTCTTCAGGACTGACTTTATTATACACTGTCCTGTGCTCTAGACTATCTTTTCTCCCTAGGATCAAAACTTGGCCTTAGTTAGCTGTCCCTTTGGAAAGGACAACTCTCAGGAAGATATGCATGACTGATATTAGCTTAATGTGCTCTGTCAAGACGATGTGCATTTTAACAGGGTATGTCTCAATCAAAGGAATGACTTTCTAATAGTGGAATTTTAAGCACTATGCCAAGAAGGCTGGCAGGGTAGCCCAAGATCCAAACAAGGGAAAATAATGCCCAGGAGTACCCTTCCAGCTGGGATCCTTACCACAAAGATCCTCATCTGCCCCCCAAACACAGTAGTAGCTGCTAAAGCAATAACCAGACTTCAAACCCCTCTTTCAGCCTCTAGTTTACTCACGCTCCATCCCCGTACACCTTGACAGCATTGACGCAGTTCTTGGCCCAGCCCCGGCTCTGAAGGAAGGGGCAGTCCTCCGTAAACTCCAGGCACTGACCTGTGAAGTTGCAACCCTCAAAGATTTCCAGGCGGTAGTGTTCCCCATGCTCCAAGGTCAGAAGGGTTTGTGGAAGAAAAGGGGATAAGAAAGAAACAGCTGAGTTACTGGGTTTGTTTTTGGTTTTGTGCCTCCCTCCCCAGCCAAGAACCTGGGCAATGAGTGTGTGGAACATCAGAGCTGTAAGACACCTTAAAGATGATCTAGTTTAACTCCTTCATTTGATAGATGGGGAAAATAAGGCCCAGGGAGGGCAGATAACTTGCCCAGGGTCATACTGACTGACCTTGTCAGTGACAGAGCTGGGATTAGAATATGAACCTGTTTTTCAATCTAAGGCTCTTTCCCCCATATACTGCCACCAATTTTCTGAGTGTTAAAGGAGCCGTCAGGAGAGGGAAACGTGCTTTAAAAAAAGTCAAAGATGGTGATATTATTAATTCCTTGTTCTGGTCTGTTTGCTTTTTCAAAGTGTTTAATATATAATCTCCTTTGTTCCTTATAGTACCCACTTGTGCCCCCCAGAGAATTATCACTAGTCTTACAAATTGAGAAACTGACGGCAAGAGACACTCAGTGACTTGCCCAAGACTACAGTACACTTAACCTTTGTTTGCCTCAGCTTCCTCATCTGTAAAATGGGGGTAATAATAGCACCTACTTCCCAGGGTTGTTGTGAGGATCAAAGGAGATAATAAGTATAAAGTGCTTACTTAGCACAGTGCCTGGCCTATATAAATGTTAGCTGTCATCATCATCATCATCACCATCGCCAACATCATCATCATCATCATCATCATCTTCATCTTCACCATCATCATCATCACCATCACCACCATCACCATCACCATCATCATCATCACCATCATCATCATCATCTTCACCATCATCATCATCATCATCATCACACAGCAAATGAATACCAGAAACAGAACTAGAACCCAGGTCTCTCAACTCCTAATCAAGGCATCTGTCTAGTATATTATGTGATACTCATACTCTTTCTCTCTCTCTCTCTCTCTCTCAACACACACACACACACACACACACACACACACACACACACACACACAAAAGAGACTCAGATTCTTACTGTCTATATAGCTAAGTCACAATCTCTCTGGGATTTCGTTTCCTTACTAGCAAAATGTACTATATGTACAAGCTTAACATGTAACCTTTTTTTTTTCTGTTCCACTTTGAATATAAAAGTGTTTTCTCTTTTTTGGTATATGTCAAGTCCATCATATCATCATCATCACCACCCCCACCATCACCATTATCATAATACTGACTTCACCAGGCTTTCATGAAGAAAGTATTTTGCAAAGATCAGGATGAAGTAAAATGTGAGTTATTATTGTTGTTATAATCAGCACACGTCCCCTCCCACTTTCCCAAGAAGGCCACTTATACTGGGCCCAGGATTGTTTAAATTTAAAAAAGGAATAGAAAGCATTTCTTCAAACCTGAAGCCAAAAATATAAAATCGACAATAAAGAAACGTCTTATTTTGCTGAAGCCACCGCTGGGATTTGCATCACCATTCACTTGGAGCAGGAAATGCATATCCTTGTAAGATAATGTGCACGTCCAGAGGAAAAAGGAGAACACCGTTCCAATATCCTGACCCTACAGGTCCTTCAGTGTTAGTTACAGTAAATTCCTTTGGGAAGCTCTGGACTTTGGCTGCACATGAATCTGCGATGCAAGTTGGCCCCGTGGATATTTTTTGTGAAAACAGCATTCACGAAATACCTAGTATATTTTTCATATAAATAGCATTATGCTGACTTCGATGCCAACAATTTTAATTCCTTTCTCCAACAGCCATGGCCTTGCTGAGATGCTGGGAAATCATTTTTTACCATTTGAATTGCCAAAGTGTAGCTGACTTTGCAGCAGCTTCAGATCAGAACAGGATGCAGCATACAGAGGTGCTTCTAGGGGCCCTGACCCCCAGATGTTTGTCAGGGCCTTTAGCAATGTGAGCTCAGGGTTACTCAGCTGGGCAAATCCTCTTGTTCCCATTCCAAGGACCCAAGACTCACAGCTGGACAGCTTGTGATACGGCAGTTCATTTCAGTGAGCACACCCTAGAAAGGCCAGCCATCACCTTCCACCACAGGATTGGGTAATCAGAGTGGGCAGACTTCTGCTAAGTCCTTTTGGCTTAGGAAGCCATACTCCCAAAGCTAAGACGGGCACTCACCATTCCCACTGGCCGACAGGAGCCCATGTGGTCGTTGTGGCCGTTCCAACGATAGAAGTCCGGGTACTTGCCACGTTCCAGAATGAACTGCTGTCCTCGGAAGTCTGGGTGGTCAAAGCAAATCCAGGCACTGCTCTCCACTCGAATGGAGTTGACCCTGTTCATGAAACCTCGGTCCTGGAAGTTGTCACAGTCCCCACAGACCTCCAGCTTCCGACCAGTGAAGTACTTGCCCTCGTAGAAAATTATCTGAGGATTTGATGGGAAATGGGCCAAATTAGGGAATGGAAGCAAAAAATTTTCTCCCCAGTAGATCAGTGATTAAAGGATATAAACAAAAAGATTTTAAAGAGGAATATAAAAAACTAAGATGTATACAAATCATTGATACAAATCATTATTAATAAGAGAAGTACAAATTAAAACAACTTTAAGGTTTACCTTTCACCTAGAAAATTGGGGGGAAATGACAAAGGATAGAAAGAGTCGATGTTGGAGGAGTTTCGGGAAGTCAGGCAGGCTAATGCATTTGGGGGAGCTACGAATTATTGCAAGCATTTTACAAACCATAGAATCCTAGAGCTGGAAGGGACCTCAGAGGTCAATTAATCCAACCCCCTCATTTTACAGATATGGAAACTAAGGCAGAGAAAGAGGAAGTGTCTTTCTTGCACAAGATCACATAGTAAACATCAAAGTTTGGATTTAAAATCAGATCCTCTGAATATACATTCCATGTTTTCCCCTGTATTCTGATGCCAACAATTTAAAATTATATGAGAAAAGTCACTCAGCTGCTCATATTCTTTGGTGCAGACATGCTACTTCTCACTTCAAGGCATGTGTCCCAAGGAAGTCAAAGAGAGAAGGTCCCATACAGACCAAAACATTTATAGCAGCATTTCTTGTGGTACAGAAAAAAATAAGCAAAAATAGATGCCTGTCAGTTGAGGAATAGCTTATGAAATTGGGGTATATCCATTTCAATAAGCATTTATTGAATGCCCCCTATGTGCCAGGCAGCAATGCTAACAAAACCATCCCTTGCCCTCAAGGAATTTACATTCCATTGGAAATAAACAATAAGATAAGTGCATGCAAACTACATACAAAGTAATTGGGAAAGGTACTAACAACTGGGAGGATCATAATATCTTCTATATATCTAGAAATGATAAAAGGAAGGGGGAGAAGAGAACACATATTTATTAAATACCTACTACATGCCAAGTATGGCATGTGCTGAGTGCTTTACAAATATTTCATTTGTTCCTCATAACAACCCTGGGAGGTAGGTGCTATGATTATCCCCATTTTACAGCTGAGGAAATTGAGGCAGAGTTCAAGTGACTAGGGTTACACAGCACTTGAGGAGTTTACATTCTAATGGAGGAGAATACATGCAAACAATTATATACATACAAGACATATAAAAGGATAAGGTAACCCCAGAAAGAAGACATTAGTAGTGGTAGGAGGGGAATGGTGGGGAAGGGACTTTTTTTTTTTAATCTTTGTATTCCTAGTACCTACCTAGCACAGTGCCTTGTACATAGTAAGCTCTGTGTGTGTGTGTGTGTGTGTTGAATTTAATCTAAAATAATATAGTGCCTACCCTCAAGGAGGTTACATTTTAATGGGTTGTGAGGAATGTGCTTTGTAAATGGTAAAGCACTGCACAGAAATATAGGCTATTATCATTCTGAGATTCTGTCCTGTCCTCCCCAATAGATAAATGCATAGCAGTCTATCTTGAAGTCATAGAATCTGCCTAATATAAATTCACAGCTAATGAAAATCCATAGATATTTGGCAGAAAGAATTTTGGTAACGCATAGAGGAACACATTTAAAATCTGTCTGATCTACTGGTCCATTACACTGAAAGTATAGCCTCAGAAAGGGCTTTGTTTGTGAGGCCCAAACTGTCTTTCTTTGATGGGCCTGCCATTTTTTTGAATCTACATATCAGTGGTTTTTATTTTATTTTATTTTTAAAGGGGATGCAAACCCTTTCAAACCTGAACACACTACCTACCCTATCAACTCATATAAATAAAAAATTTCTGATAACTAGAATAATCCACAAGTGGAGTGGTCTGCCTTGGAAGGTGAGTGATTTCCTGTCACTAGAAGCCTCTGAAATAAGCCTGGATAGGGTGGCAGCTAGGTGGTGTAGTGGATAGAGTGCTGGCCCTGAAGTCAGGAGGACCTGAGTTCAAATCCTGCCTCAGATCAAACACTTGACACGTACTAGCTGTGTGACCCTGGGCAAGTCACTTAACCCCAATTGCCTAAAAATAAACAAACAAATAAACAAAAAAGAAAGACAGAAGCCTGGATCATTAGAATTGGGAATGTGAGTGTGAGAGATTTCTTGTTTGGGTCTGGAGTTGGACCAGAGGGCTTTTGTGTTTCTTCGATGAGCCCTGAGATCCTTTCTAGCTCTGATTTATTTTATGGATGTGTACTGCACAATGATCAATGATTTAGAAAAGAAAGGGGAGGAAGAAGGAAGTTGAAAGTAGAAGTTGGAAGAGGGAAAAAAGGTAGAGAAATGGGTATGTGTCATGTATCTAGAGGTCCCCTCAAAGTACAAGCCAATAAATCAGTCAACTAGTATGTATTAAGCACCTGCTATATACCCCAGGCACCATGCTAAGCTCTGGGGATACAAAGAAAGGTACAATAAGCAAACAAAGTCAAAAGTGCAAACATTTATTAAATGGGGACTATATCCTGCTGAAGCCCAGAAAAGAGAAGTGACTTCCCAACAAAGGCACACAGGTGTCCTGACTTGAGTACCAACTGTTCTTTCCACTGCAGCCCTCTAAGCAAACCTGGCCTAGGTCAAGTCGAATGGACCAAACAGAATCCTAGAACCAAAGCTGGACATCACTTGAGAAGCCATCTAGTTCAGCCCCCTCATCTTACAGATGAGGAAGGTGGGACCCAAGGAAGTTAAATGACTTGCCCAAGGTCACATAGGCAGTAACTGATAGGGTGCTCTGCCTGCTACAAGTCTAAGAAACTATGAACTGGGGCCTGGGGGTGGCTGTTCACATTACAGAAGGATTCTTCACTATTCAAAGGGTTTCACCACAGGATTTCCTTTAAAAAAAAAAAAAAGAGAGAACTTTCCTAGAGCATTTAAAATCAAACCCAGTTTACAAAAATTTGATGTGCACGCAACTTTTCCTGAAACACACACACACACACCCCTCTATTTGCATCAAGAGCAGACTGCAGAAGAACCAGCCAGTTGCCTGTGACTGAGTCCTCAACCTCATTCCCCACTTTCTGGGCTTCAACCCCGTTCCGTCTCTCCCCCGGGTTAGGTTAGCCTCTCTTGCCCTCCCTGCCCTCTTCCCCTCCTCCCACCCACGGCCCCCACGCAGCGCCTGCTTTCCCCAGTCTGTACTCACTTTCCCCGAATACTGCGACATGTTCCTTCTTCAGCTGTCTAGAGCCCCAGATGCACCCCTAGAGCCCTCCGTGACGTGCAACGTGTGGGTAGTTGGACGCCCCAATATATAGAGGGGCAGGGAGGTGCCGTCTTAGGGCCTGGGGCCTCAGGACAATGACCCAGCCCTCAGGGCTTTAGAGCTAGTGCTTTGTCGGCAGCCTGCCCCTGCCAGGGCCCTGCTGATGCCAGGGTTTGATTGAGCGCCGATAGTGGGACAAAAGATTTGCTTGGCCTGGGCCGCGACCTATTAGTGACAATGAGTGCTTTCCTGCCATCTGGGCATGTCTTTTGCAGGGGAGGGCCCAGGGCTGCCCCATTGACCCTGCTTTCACGAGTGCCCTTATCGGCAGCAGAAAAACCATTGAACTAGGAGTCAGGAGATCTGCCATAGGGATAGCTGTATGACCTTTCCAGGTCCTGCCCCCCCAATCCACACCCCATCAGTCATTTCTAAAATGAGGGCAGAGATTAAATGACCTCTAAGGCTCTTCCCTACCAACTCAAAAAGTCTATTATGAGAACGTACATCCAGGCTGAAGGGAAGAAAGGAGATTGCTTTCCAGGCTACCCTAAAAGGAGTGGGGCTGTTGCCAGAGGAAGTCACATTGTGTGTGTCCACATGGTGTATTCTCTCTTTGGCACTTAGGATCATAGAGCTAAAGCTGGAAGGGCCCTCCAAGATCATTAATTCTACTCCTCCATTTTACAGAGTGAGAACCTGAGGTTAAAAGACATTAAGTGATTTTCTGGAGGTCATTCACATTGTAAGAATGGGAGCATTTAAACCCTGGTCCTGTGAGTCCAAATCCAGGCTCTTTCCACTGTACCCCACTTCTGTTCCCACCTTTTCACTCCCTTTGACATCAATTCTTTCTATAGATCTTGTCCTATTGAATTGCAAATGCTTTGAAAGCAAAGTTTATATTCTAGATAATTCTTCTTATATAGTAAGTGTTTTACAAAGATTGGTTAAATGAAAGAAAGAAAGAATGTTTGGTTTCTCCTCCCTCAATCACATAGGTATCAAGTTGCTATTGATTATAAACATGAAAATGAGGACCAGGTCTTAGTTATCTTTGTATCTCTCCCAGTGTTTTGCCCACAGTATACTTCGATGCTTCAATGTACATGTGGTCTCATCCATCCATGTGTCTATTTACTTCACAGCCCTTCTGTGCCTTCTCATTCTGTCCATGTTCTCCCACAGACCTCTACAGAGGTTCTACCCAACATGCTAGAAATCTCCCTCAAGTTTTTTTTTTAAACATTATATGGGTGCCAGCCATCTTTCAGTTATCCCTCATTCTCACTATGTCACTAGCCCATCTCCTTTTGCAATCAGACTGTTATCCCTTGCACCTTAACTATTCATGCCTACCCTTTGCTTGGCCTTTGTGCTACTTATAACTTTGAGTCTTAGAAGATTGTGGCATTCCAAGATTTGCAACTAACTATAAAGCATCACCAGGAAAATTGCTGCATTTAACAGATGTCTTTCTTGTTTTGTTTTGTGCTAGGGAGCAGCTTGGAAGCATTAAAAACACTGCACAATTTCCTACATTCAATCCAGTCTGCTTTCTTTCTCCTGTTCAGTTTTGGGCCCAATTCATTTCCCATGAGCAGTGCCAGTCGAAGATATATGAACTGATGGATTAACTCAGTGGCCTGACCTTCCAATGGCATAACATCCTGTTTGATGATCACATTGTGCTGATTGCATCAAGCCCCTGAGCATTACAGAGCTGCCTTAATGAGATCCATGATTCCTCAAAAGAGGAAAATCCAGATGGAAAAACTAAATGAATGGAAAACTGCCTGTACACAGTAGGCTCTCATTAAGTGGCTAGTGAATGAATGACCCCTGGTTAAAATTAACATCAAGGACTGCCTTACAGGGGACAGAGAACCCCAAAGAAGACAGGCAGTGGAATGTGGAAGAGGGGAGGTGCGTTTGCCTTTATAAGCAGCTATTCTTGCCCTTCCTTGGCTGTCTGCTTGAACTGAGAGATGGAAAGCAGCAAAGGAGAGATTCCATAGACAAAGACTTAGAGGGACAGAAAGGACGTAGCATAGCTCTTGGTCATCAGAAATGTGAACTGAAGGGCTAGGTTAGAGACGAATTCGTGGAATGGCAATAGCAGGTTTTCTAGGGACCGCTGTAGAGTTCACTCGCCCCTTCCCATAAGTTAAGACTATGCTGCAAGGATGGGCTCAAACCACACACACACACACACACACACACACACACACACACACACACACACACTCATGAGAAGTTGGGGAGAAGTGGAACTGTGTCCACTGAACCAACACTATATCCTTTCAACTTTCCAAGCTGTTGAATACCTTTCCTTGTTAAATATTACATAATTTGTTCCCCTCTCTCCCCTCCTTTCCCTCCCCTCTCCAACCCTCAGGAAGTGTTGGAGTTGTTCAGGACTGGGCTGACCAGACCACCTGCTGATGCCCCAGCCCCACTTACCAGATTGCCAGGAGTCAGCAGAGGCAACTGACCCACTTCCTACTCCCTCATCTCATATGTATGGTCAAGATGGTAACATGAAGGTTGTAGAGGGACCCAAATCTCCTACAATCAATCTGGCAAAAGAAAAAAACAAAAAATTGCAAAAGCAAGCTCTTTTAATCAGTTAAGAACTGAACAAAAAGATGTCCAGAATTCAGTGAAAATTGGGAGACAATTCATACCAGGGAAGCCGTACAAGTTATGCATGGTAAATGGACCTAAAGCCTGTGAACACTGAAAGAGAAGCCATGCCAAAGAAAAGATGAGTAAATGAAAGAAAACTCCAGTTACAATGAAGAAATATTATGGATTAAAAGAAACCCAAGAAGTCGTCCTTAATGAAAAGAGTAATTCCACACAAGCATTAGCAAATCCACAAGGAAAAAAAAAATTACTTGGTATGTGACCCTGGGCAAGTCACTCAACCCCACTGCCTAGCAAAAAAAACAAAAACAAAAACAAAATTACTTGGCCACAAAGACTAATAAATAGCTAGAAGAAATGAAACAAGTCAAGAGTGGTGGCACATACCTGTAATCTCTGCTATTGGGGAGGCTGAGGCTGGTGGGTCACCTGAGTTTGGAGGTCCTGGGCTGCAGCCAGACTGAAACTGATCAGGTATCTACACTGTGTGGCATGAGTATGGTGAGCCCCTGAAAACGGGGGGCCACTAGACTGCATAATGAGGGGCAAACCGGCCCAGATCAGAAACTAAGTAGGTCAAAGCTTCCATACAAATCAATAGTGGGATTGGCCCTCAAGTAGCTGCTGCACTTCCAGCCTGGGTGAGAGAGAGAGAGAGAGGGAGAGAGAGAGAGAGAGAGAGAGAGAGAGAGAGAGAGAGAAAGAGAGAAAGAGAGAGAGAGAGAGAGAGAAAGAGAGAGAGAGAGAGAGAGAGAGGAAGAAAAAAATTTTTTAAATGCAATTAGAATTGAAATAAGATATCTAGATCAAGAAATAATTGGATGGAAAATAAATTACTTAGAAGTAGAAAGCCTTACCGAACTAATGGAATACCTGAAAAAATATTGAACAGTTAAACAGCTAAACAGTTTCAGCAAAAATGCTACAATAATGTATTTAAAAGGTTATACATCAGGGGCAGCTAGGTGGCGCAGTGGATAGAGCACTGGCCCTGAAGTCAGAAGGACCTGAGTTCAAATCCGACCTCAAACCAAACACTTGACACTAGCTGTGTGACGTTGGGCAAGTCGTTTAACCCCAATTGCCTGAAAATTAAAAAAAAAAAGATTATACATCATGACCGATTTATACGAGGCATTCAGAGATTGTTCAATATTAGGAAATCTATAAATATAATAGACCACATTAATAACAAAAGCAAAAAAATCCATTTTTTGAGATGCAGAAAATGTTAAAAAAAAAAACACAAGCAAAAACCATTAAGAACAATAAATGGACCCTTCCTTAATATGGTAAATAGTATCTATCTGTATCTAAAACCAAGAGTTAGTTTATTGATGTGGAATGGAGCTAGAGGCCTTTCCAGTAAGATCAAAGGAAAGCAAAGATGCTCAAACTCCTATTATTTGATATAGTTTTAGAAATACTGCCCTCCCCCACCTCACGCTGTGGCAATGACAAAGAAAAGAAATGACAGAATAAGCATAGGCAAAGGGAAAATAAAATTGTTTTTACAGATGATATGATGATTTACTTAGAGAACTCTAAAATTAAGCTAAAAATAATTGAAACAATAACTAACTTCAGGAAAGCAGAATATAAGATAAACCCTCCAAACATTTACTACCCGGGCACATTACTTGAATTCCCTAGTCCTCCATTTCTTCATCTTAAAATGAGGCGGTTGAACCTGGTAGCCCCTGAGGTTCCTTTCACCTCTAGTTCTATGATTCAAATATTACCAATAAAATGCAGCAGGAGAAGCAGAAAGAGAAACTCAATTCAAAATTACTACAGAAATCTGTAAAACATCTGAGAGTCTACTTACCAAGACCCATATAAGAAGTATGTGAATACAACTCTAAAACACTCTGGATAGAAATGAAGATAAAGCTAATTATTTGGAGAGATACTAACTGTTCAAGGTTGAGACCATGTCAATATGATAAAAATGACAATACTCCCTAAGTTAATTTACTTATGTAGTGCCATGCCAATGAAACTACTAAAGATTTACTTTAAAGAACTAAAAATAATAGCAAAATTCTTCTGGAGGAACCAAAAGTCAAGAATCTCAAAGTAAATAATTTTTTTTTAAGTGCAAAAGAAAGGGATCCTGCAGCACAAGGTCTCAAATCATGCTACAGAGCAGTAATCATAAAGAGTGGGCTCTCACTGGCCAACCCCTCTGCCATTTATATGGTCCACAAGTGTCTCATTGTGTTCTAATCCTGAGCCCGGACCAAGGGACCAGCCAGAGTCAGCAGCGCCTTGAAAACAACGTAATCTCCAGGCCACTGAGAGGTTTCTGA